TTGACAGATCGAAGAAAAAATTTTTTACAAGCTTCACTAAAAAAAAATAAAAAATCATAAATTATCAAAGAAATGAATTTAATCCTTACCATGTAATCGAACCACAATGCCAGCCACTTGCATTTTCTCCACATACTTGACATGGTTCTGAACGAAAATCTTGAAGATAAATTGCATGTGTTGATGTCTGTTCCGTATACGCCATATGTATTTGATCAAATATGAAACAATAAACTAGTAGATCAGATGTTTCAATAAGAATATTTTTCTTTTTTCTATAGAAAATATAGTGACCTTATTCTCTCTTCTCACTGTTCGTATCAGTATAAACCATCGCGTATGAGTAATGCATTTTGCGTTCACACTCGTTTAGAATATATGTATGTATACATATGAGAGAAAGTGATCATAAAAATAAAGTATAGATCATACAATCTGAACTATGAATGTATACATTTCAAAGGAAAGAAAAAGAAGAAATTGAAAATTTGCATGACTCGATCAGTCCATTTATCATGATAATTTGAACATAGCAATGTTTAACTGAGGAAATGAAATTCAGTTGGGATAGTTTATATGTATATATGAAGAAAACGTTTCATTGAACGAATAAATTCATTGCAATAGAACTATAACAAACGTAGACCATATATATGATTCTCTTCCCAAGAGATGAGATGACCGATTGTCCGACTTGATTATGTATTCTCTCTGTTCTTTAGATAAAAATATAAAACGTCTGACAGATACTTAATATATCATTTAGTTTGTTTTATAATATTGAATGATTCGTAAATGTTCTTTTGCTTTAATTTATATTTCAAACAGAAAAAAAAAATTAAAACACAGTAGAGAAAAAAAATAACCAGTGAAAAGTTTAACTCATCGGGTAATACAAGTATTTTCTTACTTTTTGTTTTTTTTTCAACGATAAAACAATTATTTGTAGTCGATTTTAACATAAAGAGTATAGAAATATCACAAGATGCGAAGACATATAAATATAATTTGCGTTAATTCTCTCTTTCTTCAATTCGAGTTTAATAATGAAAGCAACAATTACAGAAAAGAGAAACAAACAAAGTTTATGTAACAATAAAAACAAAAACGCGTCTTTTTTTTTAGCTACTTTTCTATTTTTTTTTGTTTTCGAAATATTTTTTTGTTTAAAAAAAATAAAATATAATAAAACATATGATGCATCACGAAGTGATAGTTAAATATGAAGAGAAGAATATCCATATTGCATTATTTATAACTATCAAAACTTGGTAATTTTCTCCTCTCACAAGAAGAAAGAATCCGATCACTCGGGAAAAAAAGAAATTGAGAGAGAATAAGAAAATACACACACGCACACACACATCTATGTTTCATATAACGCATTCAAACAGCAGATTTTCGTTGAAAATTATTTACTAATCCACTTTTTAAACTGGTTGTTACTGTTTCAAGTGTGGATATTTTCATACGAAGTTCAGTATTAACACGTTCATATTCTTCACTAAAACGAGAGAAAAAATTTTAGTAGAAATAAAAACAATTTTATTTTTATTTTATTTACCATTGTTGATCCATACTACCGAATTTTTCTCTTCGAGCAGCTCGAGACATTTTTGATGCTTCATTATTTTTACGGCGTCGTTCTAGATAATATGATAAATCATCTGATGTTTTTATATCTGTTGCACGATTTATATTTCGAGTACGTTTTGATTTTGCTGAATTAGCTTCTGATGTTGTTGAACATACAGCACGAGATTGAATTCGAGAAGACGTTCGACGTGATCCACGTGTGGAAGATCGTTTGGAATTTGTTGTATTTGGTTTTTTTTTAGGAAAAAAATCATGATCATGTTCAAAAGCATTCAAAGCATTTTGATTTGATGTTGTTGCTGTTGAATCAATTGAAGGACATAATAATGAATTATCAGTTTCAATTAATAATGGTGAACGGAACGTATTGTTAGTTGTAAGTTCCGGTGAAAGTGGTTGAAGTTCAGAAAATGACGATGATGAACAAGCATTTACAAGTGGATTTTGTGCTGCTGATGTTGCCATTAATTGATCGAATGATGCAGATCGTAACTGAAATAAAAATATTTTATATTGTCGTACATACTATGCAATTGCGAAAATAATTTATTTTTATACTTACAAATTCACTGAGTGTTCGAGCATTAAGTAATTCAGTTGAATCTAACTTCTTTAATTCATTCATATCAATATTTACATCATTAACACCAGCTTCACTTAATAATCTTTGTAAAGAAAAACTGTTTCCATTTGTTAAAAGCTCGTTCCATTTGTCAAATGATTCCAAATCTAATTTAAAAAAAAATAATAATATAAAATGAAAAAAGTTGTTTTTTTAAATTTAATTCTAACCTTTGTTAAATAGGCCACTTGTCTTCAGGAAGGAACGTAGTTGAATACTGAGATTCGACCATGTTAAAGGTGGTTGAGTTGATGGTCGATTCCGACGGCATGAAGAAGTCTCTTCCTCCTCCAAAATCACCGTCGAAGTCGAATCCGAACGGGTCAAAGTCGCATGAGTAGGACTGTCCGAGTTCGAATGTGTATGTTGCGTTTCGTTTATCTGCTGCTGCTGTTGTTGTTGTTGTTCTTGTTGTTGATGCATATGACTGGTGTGATTCATTGTAGGGGTCGACATTGCGATTGCGCTCGTCGTCACTATGAAACATGCCCGAGTTGCCGAACAGCTTAATAAAACACGATATTTTTTTCTTCCTTTCCTTCTTTTTTTTCTTTCTTCCTTTTTTTTTCTCTGACGCTTTTCTTTTTTGGTTCTTTCCTCGCTCGTCAAATATTCTTTACCAACGTCGATAATATAGTTGTAATATTATTAATAACAGATAGTATTTATATATTCTTATGAAATACTTGCATACAATATCGGTCAACTCAAACCAACCTTTTATATTTATTTGTATTAGTCTTTGTTTTTGCCGCTTACAACAACCAGAAGAAATGCATTTTTATTATGTATCTAAAATTAAAGCAAAAAATGCATAGGTGTTTGTTCTTTCTTTACGATGTCCTCAAAAAAGAAATGCACACGCTTGAAGTAGAAAGAAAAAAACGAAAAGCAAATATTATGAAGTATTGTTGTCTTATTCATAAACGATTATGATAAATGAAAATTATAGAAAATAAATTTAATAAAAGAAAAGTAAAAAATAATTATTTGATATTTAAGAGAGAATATATGCAGACAAAAAGAATATGTAATTATGAAAGTTACCTTTAATGAATTAAATATTCGAGAGATAAAAAATGACTGCAAAAGTCTGTCTATTCTTTATGTATTTGTTTACAAAAATGAAATATTTCGAACGATAGTAATTGATTATTACATTTCTCAGTTGGAATAGGATAAAATAAAAACGATAGAAAAAATGCCGTTTTACTAGGTCATTTTATGGGAACGTCTTTCGCTGATTTCTCTCTATTTTTTTTCTCTCTACCCCTCTATTAGTGACATCATAATGAGTCAAAAATGAGCAGAGAAACAAAGGGTTAAGAACGATAACGTTGTCATTACACATAAATTTCGTAACAATCAAAGGGTAAATGAAATATTTCCTTTTCTTTCTTTTACCCCACTTCTATCAATATCTTGATCTGTACCAATTGGGCTAAAACTACAATAAGAATATATTTTCTATGCAAAATCATCCTCCTCCTCAATCTAACAAGTGGGAGAAAACCCACTAGATTGAATTGTTTATCATTAACATATGTGAGCTTTTGTTGTCTTCATAATATTACTAAACCTGTCTAGTAAAAAAACAACTATATTTGGTAATCATAAGATATAATAAAAATGTCAATAATAAATAATATCTATAAAAGTTTTTTATTGATCAACCTTTTGCGGTATCTATGTAGACAATTTATTTCGTCATGTAAACCTCAAATTGCATCATTCTTGCGCAATTCTTTCTATTGCATGAGTCAAGAATGATTGAAATTGTGCAACTTCGGAAATAAACAATAATTTTAGATACCTATTATTAACAAATATAATATAATGATTGATAGATAGTTATTAATAGATCTTAAAATTTTACCTAATTAATTTTATTGCATAATAAATGAAAAAAGTTCTTACTTCTGTTTGAATTTCGTATGAAAGTAAAACGAAAATATATTTATATGATTTCCTTTTAAAAGGAAAACTCCAACAAATTTTTTTTTCAGCGAGGGTAAAAACCAGTTGTCATAAAGTACATATATTCTGTACTGTCTATTAAAAATATATAAAGAAAAACATATACTATTTACAACAGCATTACTTTTAAACAATGCTAAACTAAATCCAGTAACGTCGAAATTACTAACAATTTTCAAATACTCATTATTCATCACATACAATAGTATTTCAGATCGAGATAATAAATAATTACTTTACTAGAAACAGCAGGATACATTTCGATCTTATGAATCATTATTGAGTAAGTTGTAGTTTGGTATTTATATGAGTAATATAGTTATTTGATCTATGAAGAGTAAAATCACAACACTTTCATATTTTAAATCATTCTTACTTTCTCATTTTTGACAAACATAGAATAACTTTATTCTTCTATTTCTTCTATTTCTTCTAGAATAATCTGTCTATGAGTTCATCATCTATATCATTTCGTATGTAAAAAATCTCGTATCTTTTCTATGATTTATGTTTCTATATTAATCAGATTCTTCTTCAATGCCTATTACTACCGTTATACCACATGATATTTGTCAAACTGACTATGATCTATCAATACCATCAATTAATTCTCATCAAGATAATAACGTGTTTGAATACAATTCAAAACCAACAGTAATGACTCATTTCATTGATAATTGGATGATTCGAGAGAGTTTAAAGCCATTTCAACAAAAAAGAAATAAGTCATCGTTACCAATCAAACAAAAATCACAAGTTTTTTCAAACAATTCTAATATTCGTCAGTGGAATGTAAGTTATCATTGATATATTAATTATCATTTTATATTAAGAATAATAATAATAAGGCAGATGAACGTAATTTAAAAAAATAAGTTGAACTAGAATCTTAAATGAAAACTTCAGATGCTCTTTTCATTCATTCCCCTAAACAGATAAATAGATCTTGCAAGATTTGATGTGAGAGATTTTATATTAGTTATTTAGTTCATTATTAATAAAATCTATATCTAATGAATTTTTTTCTTTATTTAGATTAATCAAGTATGTTCGTTTTTCAAACATGGTCTCGGCACGAATTGCTATGAATCTATAATCAAAGAACATCTTATTGATGGAATAGCTCTTCTTCTTCTACAAGATAAACATTTAATTCAGTTTTTTAAAATGGAATTAAGACATCGATTTAAACTAATCAAACGGATTAATGAACTTAAACGATGAGAATTTTTCAATGTATATTTTTATAATTTTGTTACCTTATACATGTTATTTATTGTTGTTTGCTAATCTTAAGATCATATTTTAATTCTAATAAGTATCTTGAAAGTAATGTACAAATGAAGAAGATTGGGAATGGAATGAGAGAAAAATTGATCACAGCTGTCCCTCATTTTTAAAGGATATATCTGCATGTACAATGAAACTCTGTTCGCTTGCAAGGTCACAAATAAATAATTACTGGTTAATAAGATAATTTATATTGTAGAAGAGATATTTATGCAACTGTGTTTTTCATTTAAACTAGAAGAGTTTTTTCGCGTGAATAAGAAGATCATTCGCAACAGATTCTTTAAAATAACTCATCAGCATAAACGAGATTTATTCATCAAGAAAATAAGTTACTCTTACAGATAAAGTAACTACAATAAATTCTCTCTATATTAAATTGTCGTTGATAAATAGCAAGTTTGATATAGATAAAATGCTGAAAACTCTTACACATCATAATAATATTCGTTCAATACTACTGTAAAACTACGAGAATATTTAATCAATGATATCAAGTTGTAGAAAAAAAATTCACTGACATACCTTGCGTATGTTCAGCACCCGCGATAGCGGGCGGGGGGGGG